CCAAGGCTATCCCTGGTGTGGTTAGGTTTCCAAGGAATCTTGTTTTTCTTAAAGATAAAAATGATAAAATAATAATTTATTAATACTTACTCCTTTTTCAGGAATACTTTTTCCGAGTTACGAGGACGACGCAGCATTTTGTACGCCACGTCGTACTCTCGTACATTCTGTTGTTGTGCCGACTCGAGCGGCACCTGGTTTTCCTGAGTTAATCGGGGCATGCGCGGGCGACATCTAGTCGACCCGTGACATCAGAACTGCTGTGAGGAATTACGGCTGAGTCGACTCTTGAGTCATGTTTTTGACACGATTTATTGACCATTCCCAAAAGTTCAAATCTTTGGGGATTATATTCTGGAAGGGCACGCCAATGTGGATCGGCGTGCTGAAAGACAAATGGCAAAACCATCTGGCAGCAGTTGAGCTGCCAGAGAGATAGTCCCCCCAAGAAAACGGCGGGGGTTCCTCAGTTTTACGAGGGACCAAATTACCCAAAAAACACGGGAATTTGACGCTTGCTGCGCATGTGTCCAGGAGAAACAAAAATGCAAGAAGACCTGTGTTGAATTTGCCTGAAAGAGGAAAAATTCCTTCTCATGGGTTTTTTTGAGTGTCTTCTATTCATACCAAATGAAAATTTTTACAACTGCCTAAAATCAATGAGATCTTGTTTTTCTGGCATTCTCAAATTTTCCTTATTGTTTGAAGAAGAAAAAAAAAAACTGAGGGTTAATTCGAAAAACGAAATAATTTGGGGCCGATTATTCCAAGTTTCAAGTGTTCCTAAATAAATCAAACGTACGTCGGAGTCTCGCTGTATTAAATGATTGGATGATCGTCGTAAATTTATTTCAAACTTGCAGCAAAAAAAAAGTATTTATTTTTTTCTCTCATTTATTTCTTCGTTTTTTTTTCTGCAGCTTGCGATTGCAATTCCGTGGGTTCGTTGGACAATTTCTGCGACCAGAGGACAGGGGAGTGCAAGTGTAGGGATCACAAGTATGGTCGACAGTGTGACCTTTGCCAGCCGGGTCATTGGAACTTCCCCATCTGCGAACCCTGCGATTGCAACGGACACGCGGACACTTGCGATTCCATCACGGGTTTGTTTCCTTCTATCGTGTATATTTCACTCATTCCTTTTTCTTATTGCTGAAACAAAACAAGAGAAAAAATTGTGATGTGGTCCGCAAAATTCTTTCCATATAGTGATTCTACCGAGTTTCAAAAATTGTGCGAAAGATACTCTTTGAAGTTAAACGAAAAAATTGAAGCTGAATTCGATTACTTTGGGACTGTTCCGGTTTCTTATTTTTGGTCGGTCGTATCCATAACTGCTATACATGCCTTAATTTTTAAGAACGTGTGCATGGGAAAGAAATAGCCGAAGTTGGGAGAAATTTCATTCATTTATTTTTTACGTTTAAAAATTATTAATTCCGTGGATTAGAATTCGAGGTGAGAGCAGTGTTCGCTTTGCGGACTTTTAAAAATATTTTCTCGTTTTTATGAGCAGAAAGATACCAAATTTACGCGAATGTGAGCACCTCCTTAGATTTTCATGCACAAAATGAAAATTTCGTTTGTAAGAGCCTAAATTTCTGATTGAATATAGCTTTTACCGAGAAAAGGAAAAACAGTGTCACACAACCCTTGCTATTCCCATTCTGTGAATGACTCATGGATTTCGAAGTAGTGCTGAAAGCTGACAATTTTTCGATTATTTTTAATTACATTTCCCAAAGAATTCAAGGAAAGACATGCTTTATTGTTTTGTGGGCCGCAAACAAAAAAAAAATTCGTGATAAAGATGCATATTTACGCCGAATGCATAAATTTGCGAATATAAGCACCCCTAGTTTTTGAGCTTCTACAATTGGAAAAATGGAGTGCTTAAATATTCGCGCAGATACGGTAAGGGGAAAAAAAACCTCGCAAACTTTTTGTTAGATGAAAAAAAATTCCAATACCTCAGGAATGTTGGGATTTTTTTTTTCTTTTTCAGATTGATTGTTCGAGCTTTTCAATCAGTAATATTGGAATAAGACCAATCCGTATTACCTTTTTTTTTTTTTTACTGGCCCACTCTGAATCTTCGTGGATCAAATGTTGCCTCACCTTTGAATAAATGTTTTCATTGCTTGAATTTCGATTGATTTATTAATTTTTGCTTTCATTCAGGTCATTGCCAAAATTGTGCGGATTTCACGGCGGGCAGTCATTGCGAAACGTGTTTGGACGGTTACTACGGGGACCCGGTCATGCTCGGGAGGAACATCCCGTGTCGCCCGTGTCCGTGTCCTGAAATCAAGGCATCGGGTCATTCCTTCGCAGACCGCTGTTATTTGTCACCCACCACCAACGACGTCATTTGTGACTGTCGAATCGGGTTCGTGGCCCGGGTTTTTTTTTCTTTATTCTTTACAGTAAAATATCTCGTTGAAAGAAAGCCCTTTGGCGCCAGGATAAATCCTTTGTTGTGACGAGCCTCGAAGAACCTTATGTGACTGGAGGGACCTAAAAAAATGACCATGTTCTAGACCAGTGTTCCCCGACCTTTTTGGACCTGCGGACTGGCAAATTTCCATGAATTTTTTGCGGATTGGCAAATTTACAAAAAAAAATTGTCTGTGGGCCAGCAAAGTTTCATGAAATTTCTGCAGACTCAAAAAAGTTTTGTTTGAAAGACTTTATGGCAGGTATTTAGAAAGTCTCTTCTTTTATTGCAAAAATTCAGTTGAGAACCAATAAAGCAGCTCTAGTAGAATGAATTTCAAAAATTAGACATGTGACTTGAAGGAAGGTTTCTCAGAATTAAAATTTTTAAAAATTAATTTCAGCAGGTGACAATTTGTCCAAAGCATCATCAGGAGAAAAACCAACTTGGATTTTTCATCAGATAATTTCAGCTGCCATTGTTTTTCCAAAATTCCTGATCAAGATAACAGACTTCATTGCAACTTTTGATGAATTTATTATGCTGAAGAAAAAATTTCCAGCAGAATAGCAAAAAACTTCTGCATACTGGAGAACCAATGAAGAGGACCAAAAACTTCTGGATACTACTTGAGAACCAATGAAGCAGCTATGGTGGAATTTCTTACAAAATTAGAAAGGTGGACTTGAGGAAAGGTTTCCCAGGTTGAGAAGTTGAGATAATTTATTCCAGCGGGTGACAATTTGTCTGAAGCTTCATTAGGAGACAAGCCAGCTTTTATTTTTCATCTGCTAATTTCAAATGTAATTGTCGTTCTAGAATTTCTGATCAAGATAACAGACTTCATCGCTACTTTTGATAAATTTATTATACTGAGGAAAATTTCCCACAGACCAGCGCTGGTGCAGACCCTGGGTTGGGGAACACCATTCAGGACGAAATGATATTACTTGTAACGCAAATTTTTCTTTATGCATTTACAGTACAATACTATATTCCCATAAAATATCGATTCTCCCTTTATTTATCTTGCGTGAAAAACTTGGAGACTTGACGAAGAATTTGTGCCCATGCAGATTCAGCAGCGTGTTTTTTTTTCTGAAGTGCGAGATTCCAGAGCATGAAAAATTGATGAGGTATCTTTTTGCATTAGAAATGGATTGATGGGCTGCAATTAATTTAAGGAAATCCTAGAAGAATGAAGGATTGACATGGGTGTCATCTTCATTGATCTCACATCAGTGCTTTACAGTATTCTGATGCAGAACCCTGTAAACCCGCAAAATTTAATTCCGAAGCACCAAAAAAACTTCTGAGCCAACCTCCTCATTATCCCGGAACTATGCTAAAAATTGTATCAAGTTTTGTTTTTTCCTTGGGAGGTTACAGTATTTCGTTTTTTCCCCTCTTTTTTTGAATTAAAATTTTTTTAAAATTATCAAATCTTACCCTCTTTGCAGGTATACCGGGGCGAGATGCGACAAGTGCGCGGATAATTATTTCGGAACCCCGTCGACCCGAGGGATGGAATGCCGGTCGTGTAATTGTTCGGGGAATGTGGATCTGACCCAACCGGGTAACTGCGACACAACTTCCGGGGAATGCCTGAGATGCCTGTTCAACACGGAGGGCTTTCATTGTCACGAATGTCGTCCTGGAACCTTTGGAGATGCCCTTCGCCAGGAGTGCATTTGTGAGACTTCGAAGCAATTTCATCTGTTTTTTTGTTTGTTTGTTTTGTTTGACGTGGTGTTTGTGTTTTAAAACACTTTCACGAGGGAAAGGAATTACTGTAAACTGCGGTGAGAAACTCGGGAGAAGCGTAGTTTCAAAACGTATAATTTTGCTTTACGTTTTTTTTTAATATTTATGCAATATTGTATTTTTTTAAACAAAACTTGCATAAATTATAAATATTGAACCGGAACGCCCTGAACGAATTCTCTTTTTTGGCATGAAGACGAGCCCAAAAAAGCAAATAAAAAAAGAGCACACAACTTGCTATTGTACGCATTTAACGAGAAAAAAAACCCTAAAAATATAAACATAAAATTAGCTTCTCTTGGATTATGAATTCAAGTGAATTTTAAAAATGTATTTTCCATTTTTTCATAGAAAGAGCTCGATTGGTTTGAGAGATATCAAAATTTTGATCGAGAAAATTGTTCCTTTTTTTCTTTTTAGAAATTCTTGCTAATTGTCTTTATATCGAAACATTGTGCGAATGTCAGGCTTTTTTTTTTTGAAGTTTCCGTGAGTCGAATCGTGTGTATGTTGGGGCTTAACTGCAATTTGAACCAATTATTTTGGCGAATTGTAGAGATTTTTCAGGCGACACCTGTCTGACAGGTATATACGTTGACGCGCGGAGAACTGAATTTCTCTCAATATTATTAAAATATTATTCTTAATCATTCTTGATTTTTCCCCTCAGCCTGCAACTGCTTTTTCCTGGGCACGGAAGGTCAAACGAGTGTCTGCGACCGGGTGTCGGGTCAGTGCCCGTGTTTGCCCAACGTCGTCGGCCTGGATTGCGGACGTTGCAAGGAGAATCATTGGAAAATCGCGTCCGGGGTCGGATGCGAACCCTGCGACTGCGACCCCGCGGGCTCGTACACTCAGCAATGCAACGAATTCGACGGCACTTGCGACTGCAAACCGGGCTTCGGGGGTCGGCAGTGTGACGAATGTCTGCCCGACCATTGGGGCGACCCCGCCAAGGAGTGCTTTCGTTAGTTTATTTATTTTCTTTGGAAATTCTCTGGGAAAAAGAGGTCCTACAAAAAAAAAATTCCGGAACCTGCTGGCAAAAAAAATTACTGCAATCGAACCTCTTCAAATCGAATAAGGAACGAGCAAAAAAAAATAAATAAAATTAGTTAGTTTCGAGTTAACGAAACAAGCATTTTGATTGTGCAAAAGATTGAAGGTTTGCGTAAAATTGTAAATTGTGATATTCTGCTGTGTTTTAAAATACTTTCATGAGGGAAAGGAATTATTGTACTGTAAACTGCTGTGAGAAACTCGGGAGAAGCATGGTTTCAAAACGTATAATTTTGCTGTTAATTTTTTATTTTACTTATTTATGCAATATTGTATTTTTTAAACAAAACTTGCGTAAATTATAAACATTGAACCGGAACGCCCTCAGAAAAAAAAATGTATGCTTTCGAATGTCGTTTTCTCGAAAAATATGGGCCTCAACTTGCTTCTTGAACGAGTTGAGCAAGGGTTCATTTGCGCCCAATTTGTCTTTCACTTCGTTTCAACGCACATCAATTAATTTTTGTTGTTGTTGCTTCTCTCTTTTTTCTGTGTCAAGAAATAAATATTAAATGATTTGTTTTTCAGCTTGCGAATGCAACCCGATCGGAATGAACTCGACCCAGTGTGCCCGTGATGACGGGAAATGTTTTTGCAAAGCCGGGATCGGTGGGGACAAGTGCGATCGTTGTGCCCGCGGGTTCGTCGGCAACTTCCCCAACTGCGAACCCTGCATTGAGTGTTTCAAGAACTGGGATGACATCATCACGGATTTGCGAGGTGGGAGAAGAAGGGACTGGAATTTTTAAACGTATAATGTTCAAATGTAAACTCTCTCGTGGAAATTGCGTGCGTCTCTTGATTTATTGGACGCCCAACCAATTTTTCACGTTTTATTTTTCCATTATTACCGTTATTAACACGCGCACCTTGTTTTACAAAAATAAATTGAAGCAGAAAATGTTTGGTGCGCGTCAAATTTTCAGGTGACATTTATAAAAAATTGGAAGCGTTTCTCCCCACGGTAAATTTTTCTTTGGACTTCTCAATTTCAATAATACTGTATTATTACTGTATTTGGATTATGAAAGAAAAATTATCACCATTGAATTCGATTTTCAAGTTGACTTTGTAGTCATAATAATGACCACAACACTTTCTGTACAACCCTTTTAAGCTGATGTATTTCCACTACGCTTAGCTGCGCCTGGTACACTAGCAATTATATTTCACAATCCCATTGTTGACAGAATACTTTCCCAACTGTGTTCATGCTTCCTTCATTTTAAAGAAACAAAGTATGACATCCCTGATTCAAATTGGTTTCTATGCCTGTTCTTTGACCTTAGCTGGCCGAAGCTATATATACAGGTGCATTTTATGTTGCATTAAGTTTACCGCACCTGACTCTGACCAGACACTTCGTCCACATTGCTTTGCTCAGCAGCAAATCATATTTGTATCTACTGTGTGCAAAGATATAATAAGACTCATTTATTATACTCTCACGGAGTAACTTTTGCGTTTCCTTTGGAAGTTGCAGAAAACAATTTAAACCTCCAATTCAAGTCCTAAACTATATCAATAAAGCTTGACAGTGACTGATCATCATAGTTGCTTTAATTGTCATCATAGTGTTTTGGACAACAACTTGAATTTAGATTTTTACCAAACGCAGCTTTTCAAATAGGAATTTTGGTCACTGAAAACTGAGTATCGGGTCATTGTGCTGGGATAACAAATTTTGAATTCTTAATGAGCTACAAATCTAAGGTGCGCGTCTTATTACTCGACGGCGGTTGGTACTCAATGTACATACTGTGTATTCGTCCATTTATTTATTTTTCAATTGTATTTTATTTTTGTTTAGAGCAAACGGAAGATATTGTACAAGCAGCAGCGGACATAAAGGAGTCAGGAGCAACAGGAGCGTATCCCCAGCAGTTTGAGGAGATGGAGGCCAAGTTAAATCGCGTTGCGGCCATGTTGGAAAACGCTACTTTGTCAAACAAAGAGCTAGAAAGTCTCAAGACTCGCGTGGAGATTCTTAGGTACGGTACTGTACTGTATTATACTGTACTTGTCGTCTAAGATACAGTAATATGCTCTTCTGAGTTATGAGCTAACCTGTTATTATTTTTTTTAATGTCTTTTTTTTAGCGATCCGCAGTTTTGATTTGCAGTAATTGATGTTTCATGAATTTGGTCATTTTGGATTTCTTTTGTTTTTGAAAGTATAGCTCTTCGAATTTCATTTTTGAAGTTGCTCCAAGAAGACGTCCTCTTCTGATTTTTTTTTTCTATTTTACTGTCAGATTTTCAGTTTCTCTTGATGATTACCTTTGTGAGATTTGCTCTGCCAATGATTGATCAAAATTTAATTGATGAGCATTTGTGGCTTTTTTGCTTGGTTTAATAGTATACTGTGATAACTTATTCTTAAGATGGTCTTCTATTTGCGTTTTTGACACTTTCTCTTTTATTTGCTCTTTTGANAGCCGGGATCGGTGGGGACAAGTGCGATCGTTGTGCCCGCGGGTTCGTCGGCAACTTCCCCAACTGCGAACCCTGCATTGAGTGTTTCAAGAACTGGGATGACATCATCACGGATTTGCGAGGTGGGAGAAGAAGGGACTGGAATTTTTAAACGTATAATGTTCAAATGTAAACTCTCTCGTGGAAATTGCGTGCGTCTCTTGATTTATTGGACGCCCAACCACTTTTTCACCGTTTTATTTTTCCATTATTACCGTTATTAACACGCGCACCTTGTTTTACAAAAAATAAATTGAAGCAGAAAATGTTAGGTGCACGTCAAATTTTCAGGTGACATTTATAAAAAATTGGAAACGTTTCTCCCCACGGTAAATTCGGACTTCTCGATTTCAATAATACTGTATTATTACTGTACTTGGATTATGAAAATATCACCATTGAATTCGATTTTCAAGTTGACTTGAATTTAGATTTTTACCGAACACAGCTTTTCAAATGGGAATTTTGGTCACTGAAAAATGAGTATCGCGTCTTTGTGCAGGGATAAAAAATTTTGAATTCTTAATGAGCTAAAAATTGCGCGTCTTAATGCTCGACGGCGGTTGGTACTCAATGTATACTGTGTATTCGTCCATTTATTTATTTTTCAATTGTATTTTATTTTTGTTTAGAGCAAACGGAAGATATTGTACAAGCAGCAGCGGACATAAAGGAGTCAGGAGCAACAGGAGCGTATCCCCAGCAGTTTGAGGAGATGGAGGCTAAGTTGAATCGCGTTGCGGCCATGTTGGAAAACGCTACTTTGTCAAACAAAGAGCTAGAAAGTCTCAAGACTCGCGTGGAGATTCTTAGGTACGGTACTGTACTGTATTATACTGTACTTGTCGTCTAAGATACAGTAATATGCTCTTTTGAGTTATAAGCTAACCTGTTATTATTTTTTTTAATGACTTCTCTTTAGCGATCCGCAGTTTTGATTTACAGTAATTGATGTTTCATGAATTTGGTCATTTTGGATTTCTTTTGTTTTTGAAAGTATAGCTCTTCGAATTTCATTTTTGAAGTTGCTCCAAGAAGACGTCCTCTTCTGATTTTTTTTTCAATTTTACTGTCAGATTTTCAGTTTCTCTTGATGATTACCTTTGTGAGATTTGCTCTGCCAATGATAGATCAAAATTTAAGTGATGAGCATTTGTGGCTTTTTTGCTTGGTTTAATAGTATACTGTGATAACTTATTCTTAAGATGGTCTTCTATTTGCGTTTTTGACACTTTCTCTTTTATTTGCTCTTTTGAAGCTTGCCCTTATATTTGTTCTTTTAAACTATTTAAAACGTCTCTTCTATTTATTATTTTTAAATTTGCTTTTTTATTTGCTCTTGAAACCTGATTTTATATTTCCTCTTTGAAACTTGATTTTATATTTGCTCTTTGAAACTTGCTCTTCTAATATTAATTTGCTCTTTGAAACTTGCTCTTCTAATATTAATTTGCTCCTTGAAACTTTCTCTTCTAATATTAATTTGCTCTCTGAAACTTGCTCTTCTAATATTAATTTGTTCTTTTATTTGCTCTCATGAAATTTTGTCTTCTGAAACTTATTAATTTTCAGATCTTCTTTTCTGAAACTTGTTCTTTTCGGATCCTCCCTTCTCAAACTTGTTCTATTCAGATATTCTCATTGAAATCTATGCTCTATTGTCTATTGAAATGTTTTTCATTTGATAAATGGTTTACTGGCTCTCACTTCCTATCTCCAGGATTGATCCTTTTCATTTTCCTCGCCATAGGCTTTCTGTATTTAATCTTGCTCATTCAACACTGGATTTTCTGTTAATCCATTGGAAACTAATTGATGACCAAGTTTAAAAAGTTTTGCCCGGGTTATTCCTTAAATTACTCGCATGGGGACGTACGTTTCATTCCTCGAACTTGTTCTCTCCAGAAATTTATTTTCCGATGTACGCGCGTCCCTCATAAAATATTTTTCCGACGTTTCTCAATTGAAAAATAAAAATATTTTCTGCAGAACAAACTTGACAGAAATCGGGAGAGAACGGGACAAAGTGGACGCGGACCTTTTCAACACGACGCAGCGCATTTTCGAGGCCGGCGTGGAACTCACGCGACTCAAGGACGGCGCCAAGAGACTCGAGGACAAAGCCAATGCTCTCAAAACGGACGCCACTCAGTTGCAAGAGGCCAACGTGGAAGGCGCCCTGGAGAAAACGGCGCCGCACGCTGCAGCGATTGGAGTGGACTCAGAGCACCATGACTGGGAACCAAGGAGACAATGAACAGACTATTGAACGGATCGATCGGAAGTTGGGTGAAATTGAGAAGGAAATCCCCGACATCAACGATCAGGTGTGTGTGTCTTCCTTTTTTTTAATGTTTTTTTTTATTTGCTTTTGAAACTTGATTTTATATTCCAATTCTATTTTATATTATATCTATTTCTCTGACGGATTTATATTAAGAACTCATGTGGGATTTTTAAAACTTGATTTTATATTTCAATTATATTTTATATTAAATATATTTCTCTGACGGGTTTATATTAAGAACTCATGTGGGATTTTTAAAATTTGATTTTATATTCCAATTATATTTTATATTATATACATTTCTCTGAAGGGTTTATATTGTCTCGAGTACACCCTAAAAATTTTGAACTAAAATATAAGGTTAATATAAAGTATAATTTATATAAAGGGACTGACCAAATATAATTCTCGAGTACACCCTAAAAATTTTGAACTAAAATATAAGGTTTTATATTTTATATTATATACCGTATATTTCTCTGAAGGGTTTATATTGAGAACTCATGTGGGTTTATTCTTATTTTTTGTGTACCCTGTGTATAATAGGTTTGCGATCGTCGTGGAGAACCTTGCGATGGCCTGTGTGGCGGCGGCGGATGCGGACGATGCGGCGGACTGTCGTGTAAAGAAGGATCCGTTGAGCTGGCCAAGTCGGCGCTCAACTTGGCCGAGGAGGCCAAGAAGTTGTTGACTGATCGCAGGGCTGCCAACGAGGACCAGCTTCGGAAGGTGGGGGTTTTATTTTTTGGTTTCGCGTAATATCCTAGTTTACTTTTGTTGGTTACCACTTTTTTTTTTTTTTTTTTTGCCGTTTTCGTGGGAATGTTATCCGAATTTAGGCGCTGTTGTGGGCAGAAATTAATAATTCAAGGCGGATCGATTTTTTGGAGATACTGCGCTGTGATTCGCCAACTAATCCTGATGACCTTTTTTTAATTGATTGATTGATGGGCTCTTTATTTCATTGATGTATTTTTAATGCGCGATAAGAAATCCCGAATATCCTGTATCATATGTCTTTGAATTATAGATATTTATATAAATTATAAGCTTCCGGTGAATGATACAAAATGCTGTACTGTATTCAAAAAAATGCAATCACTCAATTGATTTTCATGCACGAAAATTGTAGAAATGATTATTATGGATAAATACTGTATTTTTTTTTATTATGGAAGCTGGGAATCTGAATTTATAAATTCAAATGGAATTTCGATGCCCATCTTGATTGATTAGGTTGATGGGTGAAGGACGGCCGATAAATTCTCAGCCCTGATTTTTTTTTTTTAAATCATCACTGTAATTTATTTTATATTTTGTTGGCAGGTCACTCAGTCGAAAGTGGAAGCAGACAAGGCCTTGAACCTGACAGAACACGCCCTGGAAGCAGCCACGGTGGCGAGGAATCGTTCGTCAAAGGCCAACGAAGACATGAAGGCGCTGACGGATCGGATCAACGAGTTCCTCAATGCGAAAGGAGCGACACCTGCGGAGATCCGAACCCTGGCGGAGGAAGTGCGCAGCAAGTCCATCAGTCTCCAGCCGCAGCAGATCCAGAAGCTGGCGGCGGAAATCAACGCGACCATTCAGGCCCTCACCAACATTGATGACATCATCAATGCCACTGCTGATGACTTGAACACTGCCAACATGCTCAAGAAACGGGCTGACACTGCCAAGTCTGTTTTGCTAATGCATTGTTTTTGTTTTTTTTTAATCGAGGCTGATTAGATATATTTGCCCGAGTGGGGAAATTGGTGCACACTGGGGATGTGTTTGTAATTCTACACAGTGACCCTGCTGTGCACCTGAAGTGTACCAAAGTTTTTCTTTTGCACATGTATACTGTGTCCCTAATGTGCACCAATTGTGTGTTCACACCAGGGTTACTCAGGGTCACATTTGTAATAAATAAGTTACACCAAGGTTACAGTTGGTGCATTTTTGTGATACTCCTGCTATGTCACATTTGTGCACCAAATGTAGCCCTGGAATAGTAGCAAAATTTCATTGACAGAGGTGCATGCTTGTAACCCCAGAATAGCCAATGTACACCAGTTGTGACCCCAGTGTGCACCAATTGTGGGGTCACACAAAGAATAGCTCCCCATCATGGGAGTTTGGATCCATCATTTGTCATGGCACATTTTGTGAAACTAAAAGACAGTGTTCCCCAACATGTTGTCTGCGGATTGGCTGTAGTATGCAGAAGTTTTTTGCTGGTCTGCTGGAAAATTTCTTCAGCATGATAAATCCATCAAAAGTAGCAATGAAGACTGTTATCTTGATCAGAAATTTTGGAAAGACAATGGCAGTTGAAACTATCTGATGAAAAATTAAAGGTGGCTTTTCTCTCAATAATGCTCTGGACAAATTGTCACCTGCTGAATTGAATTTTTAAATTTTCCCTTCTGAGGAACCTTTCTTCAAGCCACATGTTTAAGTTTTTGAAGGCATTGTACTAAAGCTGCTTTGTTGGTTCTCAGTTTAATTCTTTTTTAGGAAAGCAGAAACTTTTAAAACGTCTGCCAGAAATTCCTTCAAACAAAACCTTGTTGATTCTGCAAAAAGTTGGCTGTTCTGCAGAAAATCTTTTGGCTCTGCAAAAAAATTGTATGGAAATGTCTGTGTGCCCAAAAAGGTTGGGGAACACTGCTGAAAGTAAGGGTGGCACTGTAATTAGGGGGTATTGTTTACCTGAAGAAAGTTTAGTTGAGTGTTTTTGACTGTTGGTAAAAGAAGCTTGTTTGCAGAATTTTAGGCCATTTTCTATGTTTTCTGAGAGAGAAAGTTTCAAGAATCAGTATGATGAGGCTCAAATAAACTGTTTTTCCGCAGTAGTTTACTGTATTTAATAATACTGTATATATAAAGGTTTTTGAATGCATTTTTTTGTATTGGATTTTTCATGTGCTTTTATTGAAAGGTTGATACAAAACTTTAAAATACTGTGCAGCTCTGCTCTTATACTTGACACAATATGGAATTGTAGAGAAAAATTCCTTAAATCTGAATGAAGTTAGGGTTAATGATGGACATTTTGTTTTGCATAAACTGATTGAAGACATGCTCTGAGCTTGTGTTGGACCTTTTTTATCCCGCACTGCTTGTGTATCAAGAGCTGTTTTGCCACTTCCTACTCTTTTGACTATCCATCGAATGAAAATTGATTGAATATTTGCGATAACATTATTTTTCTTTATCTACAGAGAACAAGCTGGAAAAGTCTGGGACTCGGTTCAAGCTGTTTTGGAGGCCCTGAAAGAAGCTGAAGGTGCTCAAAAACGGGCCAAGGCTGCCCGCGAAAATGCTGACCAGAAAGTCGACCAAGCCAATGGTTTCTTATCTCAGGTATTTGACGAGAAAAATTTATTTTCTAAAATCCTGTTTTATATTCGATGTGGCGAAAATCAATTTTTTATTTTTCGTGTCGATTCAGACGAAGACGGAGATGAGTAGAACCCAAGATGACACTGCAGCGCAGATGAAGAAAGTCAAAGAGCTCAAGGACCGGTTGAAGTACGTCACCAGGGACATTGTGGACATTGAGACAGACATGGATTCTGCTGCTCGGGAAGCTGATGAAGCTAAAAACACTGCGAGTGAAGCAGCGGGTATAAAATCATTGCTTTTTCTATCACTTTTCTTTTTTTTTCTCTTTGAAAAGGGGGAATTTTTTAAATTATGCTTCATTTTATATATGTTCATGGCATTTCAAGCATGCGAATTCATTCAAGAATTCTTTGTGGCATTCCGAAAATCACTCGTGATATTCTTTCATCGGAAATGCTGGTGGACTCTCTCTCTCTCTCTGCAACGATTTTGTGTATAATGATGTTCTCTGTATAATAACGTTATTTTTTTTGGTCCCCTGGGGTTTCTATGACAAATTTTTTCTGGTCCCTTGTATTTCGTTGTCGGGAGAGTCCGCCTGTACTTCGCATAACCGATGATTTTGAGTGATTTATGTTCTTTTCTAAAGTAAAAAAAAAATAATAATATATAAATAATGATAATACTGTACTTTAATTGTGTCCTATTTGGCTCAATTTGATTCCCTTTCTGATTATATACTGGATGTATATGTATATATATATACAATTTTTTAAATTTATTTAATGTTCCAGGGGAAGCGGAAATTCTGGAGCGGAAGTACGACGAGGTGAAGCGAGAGTTTGACGAAACGGACAAGGACAGTCAGCAAGTGCGGGATCGGGCCAGGAGCCTGCAAGAAAGCGTCCTCCGACTCGAGAAGAACGTGACTGAAAAGGCGGAAGAAGTCACGAGACTGCAAACAGAGTATGTCAAGTATGAAGAGCAACTCGGAGACATGGGGGCCAGACTCAGCCGCCTGGAACAAGAAATGGACGGATATTTGAAGAACATTGAAGAGCGAAATCAGCATTATCGCAATTGCTGAGAGAGGGGGACTCTTTTTTTTGTTATTATTATTTTTTTTTACGATCCTATTTTAATTTTCAGTATTTTTGGTTTTCTGTGCTAGTGGTGTAAGTCAGTTGTTTTTCTTGTTTCTGAGAAAATATGGAATCTATGCATGGTACTGTGCTTCTGTCAAAAATGAAACCTAGTCATATCCAGAAAAAAAGAACTATTGCAATATTCAAAGCTAAAATTTTACGCAGTCTTCTGGAAGGCACCTTCAGATTCAAAAATGGGTATAGGCAAATATTAGTTAATTTTCCATTTGGTAAATGTAACCTGTTAGTAGAATTTTCAGGCCTCTCCAGTAAATTGAAAGTATTTTTCTGTGCTTGTTAGG